AAGCCATGCCAGGAGCCTTGGATAGCTCCCAACCAAGAGCTGTCTCACTGAGTGCCAGTAAAAACATCACATTCCTGGGTCATCTATAAGACCAGAAACAATAACTGCTTAGCGCTCTCTCAAACATTCTCCTTTATGAAATACCACTGCTTTCAAACGTCTTAAAGGCTAGATGTCTCTGAGAGCTGGGATTATCCCTCCTTGCACTCCTCATATAGGACATCCTTTTCTGTTATTTCAGAGGTGACTTCTTGCAAACAGCACAGCCTCACAGATGCATACAAATCATCTGTAAGAGGCAGCAAGCAACAGCCTCAGGCAGAGCCATTCTGAGGGGCAGGGCTTCTCAGATTTTAACACTGGCAACTTTTCACACAATCTCCCTTCTCAGCTGCTAGTTTACACTAAAATACCTGATCATGTGCTTTAGTTTGCTTATTTTCCAGAAATACATGGTATAGGATATGACACTCCTCCCTTCTCTGCCTGGACTCATCTCTTCACTAGGGGACACTTGGGCACTGGGTCTGGCCAACAGTACTGGTTTAACCTCCTCTCTTCCCAGAAGAGAGTGCTTCCAAGCCGCAGGCCCTACAGGGTAGCTACAACGCCTTGGAGTCATGTCCTCCAAGGCTCACTCTTCCACATGATGAACAGGTCCAGTTCAGGGAAGCTGTATGGTCAAGTAGCACAGCTGAGAGGCATCTGAGTGACTGCCTTAACGCACTCCACTCCTGGAAGAAGAGGGATGGAGGGGATGATGTTTTGGTTTTGATTTGTTTTCTATTTGTTTTCATGGAGTCCGGGACATAGTCCAGTATCACGAATGAAACTGCTAATGAGTTTTGTTGATAACGAGACAGTTTCCCAAGAGGATGAACATAAACTGACAAGAACTTGGCTATGAGATGGAGGAGATGAGATCTGCATCAGGGCTGGTTTGCAAGTGGCTCAGTACAGTCTTTTTTATAGTGAATTTAATCTGAAGTTTACTGACTAAAGCCCACTCCAAAACCTCGTTTGGCAGGAGAAACAGGAGGATTTTGCTCCAAAAAATAAACCTGCCATTTTTTTCTTTCAAATCACACCTCCCTGACCATGTGCTTGAAATCTAGGGGAGCCTTCAGAGATCTCCTCCCCGTCTGGCATAGCACTGAAAGTCTCTCACACACTGCACGTGCCTTCTTTCAAAGCAAGGCAGGCTGTCCCCACGGTATGCATACTTACCAGCCATTCAGACACATAACTCAAGTGTTTTGGGTTTTTTAAGATACTGTGGAGGTTGTGGGGTGTCAGTAAAGCTCCTGGTTTCACAGCCCCAGAAAAAACGGGAATACTACTCCCAGCATGTTGACAGCAGAGGAACCAAAGCAGTTGGGACCAAACACAACGTTTTTCCTCCTGTACTTCTCCTCCCAGCTTCTCGCATCTACCTGAAGATACACTGTGTGGAGAGGAAAGGCAGCAAAACCAGACCTACCAAACCGCAGGAAAAAGCAACGTGCAACACAGACCTACCTGCCATCTCAAAGCAGCAGGAGTGCAGCAAAAAGCACATTAACATCAACCTGAAAACTCCAGAAGGTCTATGCTCCTTCCTCCGCAAAATGGGACAGGACATCTCACCTGAGATCTTCTAAACAATTCCCCAGAAAGCATTACTAGGAAAACTAGAGGAAGGGCTGCCCCAAAGCCAGATGGCAAAGGACCATCCCACATCCACAGCGACAGCCGAGTTGCCTGCAGGAAGCCTCCTTTGCAAAGCACATGCATTAGCTCTGCCAAAGCCTTTAAGACCCTGGGCTCCCTTTGAGACCAGAACTGTAGATGCTTCAATTGCAATTAGCTGTTATTAAAGGAGTGTAACAGAGACAGTACATAAAACTAACTCTAAATGACAATGCAAATGCCATTTTTACACACACATTGTGTAATGTTTATTGCCTTCTACAGGAGAGTGAAAAGGACACTATTTTATTCCTGCCTAGGACTGTCTTGATCTTGGAACAATGAAAGATGCAGATTCAATCCAAAGCTTAAACAGGGAAACACAGTACTCCTGAAGAACCTCCCAGCACATTTTTCCTGCTCAGTTATATGAAAGCCACACACAAGTTGATAGGGTGCATGTCTGGAATGGATGACATCAAGAAGATAGAGAAGATGCCTCCCATGAACATTTTTCTGCATATACTAGATAAGGCTTGGCAGTTTCAGAGAGAGACATACTGAAACGCCAGCCTGGATCCTGCTTGGAAAGTCTGCTGTTTTGTTGCAAGTTTAATTTAAAGAGTGACAGACCCTGCTGAAAAGTAGATTTGCAGAAATCAGGTTATTGTGTCAGTTCAGATCACAATCGCCTCCTCATGGCCACACAAGGCCTAGCCTCACCAGCAAGCCAACATACCCAGAAACAGAGATGTTCTTAATGGTGTCAAGAATCAGAACAATCCAAATGTTGAGAGTCTAAAATGAATATGTCAGTCACAAGTCAGCTTCTGTGGCAGGTCTTGATTCCTTGTTAGGGCCAATCCAAATTCAGACCATGAGAAAACTGTGGGTGTTTTAAATCCAACAGCTTCTCTTAAGGTCTTCTTGTTGTATGTGAAACACGAGCTTTTAATGCCAGAGCACCCAATGTGTGCAGGGCTGTCAGAGGTGGTTGGGGGAGGGCAGGATGGAGGGAAGAAGGCAAGGGGAAGAAAAGATTTTCCAGTGAGCTTTTTTCAGTTTCATAAACATTAGTCTGCATCCCACAAAAGTTGCTTTTACAGTGTAATGAATATCCCTCTGCTGCCCCAGCCAATGCAAGATGAACTCGTCCCACCTAATGACTGTTTTTTATGTTTTAATGTACACATTTCATGTTCAAGCATCCACTCCCCCACTGACTCTTGGGGCTCGCCCATCTTAGCCTAAAAAACCCTTTTATATGAGAGGGAAGAGAGAGGTAGGATAGGGTGAAACAGACCCTGCAATTTTTCATATTATTTCTGCGAGTACAAAGCTACCAGCCAAGAAATCCTGACATTGTCTGGGTCTTCTCAGATTATCTGCCCTGTATGATAGAAATGTCTCCTACTGTTCCCATGAACCAGCTGCCAGCTGTAGCAGGACATTGTTTTGATGATGCAGTACCTTATTACTCCAGTATTACCCCACTACCTAGAACTAGCACCC